GGTAGCCTTGTCCACCGGAGTGACCTACCCTCAAAAGTGAAACCTAACAGCAATTTACTCTGTTCAGTCACTGCAATATTAAAAAAATAATGGTTGATATCTAAAGTACATAGCAAATTTTTGTCTGCACAATAGGACAGAATGTCCGCTATCGTGTAGCTCCTGTACTGTGGTTTAATCAAAACTTTATTCAGAGCACGAGAGTCAAACAGACAGCGCCCTACAGGGTTTTCAGCTGTCGACCCTCGCTTTTCAATAACAAAGAATGGTAGTGTTACGATGGACTCGCCATCCTCCACTACACCCAACTCCAAAAATTTACTAATCTCTTTTCTTGCAATCTCTCTTTGTCTAGCAGATAATGGCCATTGCCTTCGAAAGATGGTACCTTCATGAGTTCTTTCCAGATGAGTGAAAAAATTTGGAACAGGAGCACCTGCTTTCATCTCTTTAGAAAAGACCGTTGGAAATTTCCTGCACAGTTCCCGAACCAACTCCTTCTCACTCTCAGTAATATCAGCACCGTCTAAAGATGGAATAAGCTCCATCTCCTCACCTGGTAATGCATTACAGTCCACAGTTGGTACGTTTGTTTGTCCGTCAAGTGTCAGTAATTTATTTTCCACTGCATATGTTATTTCAGCCAGAGTGGCTGTTGTCAGTCTTGATGACTCTATTTTTTGATTTTCAGGTGTGACATAACCTATATCTGCACCAGGAGGAATAATAATTCTTTTTCTACTACAATTAAAGACTGGTACAGTCGTGTCTTCAAGTAGAAAACACTCCATGCTGGAAACATCAACATTACCATCAACCACACATGGATAGAATATTGCAGGTAATACATCCTTATCAAACTCTCCATGAACTAAGGCACACTGATTAGGTTCAATTATTATTTCTTTAGTGCTTTTTAAAATTATATTTCCTTGAGAGTTGCTAGTAAGACAGTTAACTTCTGAGGTAGGAGTGCTCTGCGCTACTCCTCCCTCATGAACACCTCGAATCCTCTTTGCTTCGATTACTTTCCCTTTTATTTTCAAAGTAATTCTTTCATTTTCCCAAGAAATATTTGCCTTGTATTTTTCTAAAAAGTCATTACCAATGAGAAGGTCTATATCATTAGGAAGAGCTGCACAAACAAGGGGGTGCTGAATTTCACAATCATTAATTTTAATAACTGGGCGATACAATCCATGAACTGGCAAAAATGAATCATTTGCCGTTCTTAATTTAATTTTAATTGGTTCCAATTTATTTTTGTCGGTACAGTACTTAGTGTTAAGCACTGACCGCACAGCACCCAGATCGAGTACTGCAGTCAATTGCAGGTCATCTACACAAACATTAATTTTGAATAATTTACCAACATTATCCTCAGATAGTTTAAGAACCTCCCACTCATCTTCTGCAGGCGGTTTGGCTCTACCTTTAGCTGTCATGAATCCATCTATCTTAAAGCTGTAGGTATCATTGCCTTCTGCATATGAAGATTGTAGTTTACACAGGAGGTTTTTACCCAACACAACCCCAACACTTTCAGGCAGGTTAGCAACTACCATAGGAATACAAGTCTTTACTTTGTTCGAAATTTCAATTTTTGGGTTAAAAATCCCAGTTATTGGTCGGATTTGATCTAAGTACTTGACCTCCCCTCTCATTATTTGTACTCTCTCATCCTCTAACCAGGGTAGGGGCGCTATGACTGAGCACTCTGCATGCTCATCAATAAAAGCAACTAATTTTCTCCCATTGATTTTAATTTTAATTGGAAAGGTAGAGTTAGTTGGTGCCAATTCTATTGGATTCTCCCAATTAATTTTAGTTATTTCTTCCAGGTCGTCCGGCTCGTAGCAGCACGAGCACAGCATGACGTCACCGGTCATTGCTTCGTACGTACAGACCACATGCGCCCGATCAGGCCACCGAACGCTCGAACCCGAGCGAACCTGACACTCGACACCGCTCAGCCGTCGATCAGCGACGCTACCCTCGCCCGGCAACCGGGTTGATGACACCAGCGGGTGCACCTGCACCGCCGAGTCCGATCTATGCGTCGACGTCCCCACGACGCTCCCCGTCTGCTGCGCGGAAAACACTCCTATTTCATTTCGCGATCGGGACTTCTCAAGTGTCCCGTTCCGATCAGTTCTGCGGAGACTTTTCCACTGGAAATCCGAATCCATCCTGTCTGGACTTGGCGTCCCACGGTGCCGCGCCTGGTCCCTTGTGCCCTCAGCGAGGTCACTACCCTTGGGTTCAACCACCGCCACTTTACAAGTACCCTTGGCATTAAAGTTCATTTCACCATTACTCTCCTTGTTATTACTCTCATCATCATTCGAGCTACTTGACAATACATCAAAAATCTGTCTCGGAATCAGGGGGTCAAAGTGTCCTCGGTCAAACTCTCCAGTATGTCTCATTGCGACATATATCTCGGTTGGGCCTTTGCACTTAAATGTATACTCATTATTATCCCTTTTAATTCTAATACCTATACTTAATGCATCTGCAGCCGCCTGAATCTGCGGCTCCGCAGCCATTTCATGCGTCCCAGAATGGAGCCTGTAATACTCTTCACGGTTTCCCTCAATGAAACTGTAGAACTTCTTATCCCACTTATTATAAATGTACTTAGCAATTACCTGTCTTAAAAGATAAGAATGAGCAGTAGTATTATAGAGAGCCTTACTTAAACTGTGATAGAAGCAATCTCCATCACCAGGCACTCGAAATAATTGGTACTCATGCTCATTTAAAGGATTAAACTTAAAGTAATCGTTTTCAGCTGCTATCCGAACAATTTTCTCCTGATTTAATTGCGAAAATTCTGTAACAAAGAACAGTTTGCTGCGAAGTGTCCCTCTTTATTGCAAAGCCAGCAAGCATTATTCCTTTGTCCCGAGGACCTCTGATTATTCTGAGAATTATTTTGTCTTGAATTCCCCCTAAATACTTGGATGTCGCCGCGGGCGTCCTGTGAACCCCTGGAGGAGTTAGATTGGTAATTAGGCTGATTGCCCCCATTATCTGAGCCATTACCTAGCTGATTCCTATTCTGAAAACCATAATTCTGCCTGTAATAATTATTCCTGTTCTGCCCATTGAAATTTTGCCTGTTCCCATAGCCAAAATTTCTACCTCTGTTGTTAGAAGCATACCAATTACCTCGGCCACGGTGGTTGTTATAACCACCGCGCCCCCTGTAGCTGTTCTGTTGTACAATCATTGTCAATAGTTCATTTACCAGCCCGTTCCCAGCGGGCGCCTGCGCCTGCGCCTGACTTCCCCCCAAATTAAGCTGATCTATTGAAGCTTGAAGTTCTGCCATTTTATCTTTAATCTCCTGTACCTCTACAGTAGCTAAAATTTTATTTTCACCCGCAGCACTTGCTGTTTTCTTAGCCTCCTTTGCAGGTCCCAATGATTCCTTTAATTCCTCAAATTTTCGGGTGATCAAGTCCTCTACATTACCAGAACTATTTTTACTCCCTATAATCTCCATATTTTGTTTGTAGGAACTGAGACGTTCTACCAAATCGTCCACAGTTTCACAGTCAGTACACGCCACCAAGCGTGCGTCCTCCGCAGGCAAAATGCCCAGTAAAATTTGAATAACTTCTTGCTCTGATATACTTGGATCTGTTTTTGCAAAATCATGTACTCTGTAAATGAACCCTTGAACTGTTTCTGTGGGCCTTTTGGACATTTTGGATAATTTTAGTCTGGTTATCTGGCCTGTTCTATTAGGCTCTACCACTGCCATAAAACGCTTGCAATAATCCCCAAAATTCTTCTCTTTATTAGAATTATGGAGCCCTTGCCACTGTGGAGGCAAAAATTGGCCCACCAAAGGCACCAATTTATCTTCAGGAATACCATGTGCTTTATAAACAAAATGGAAATGCTCGAACCAGCCCAAGATATTATCAGGATCAAAAGGCCTGATAGTGGGCTGTAAGGAGGGCGGCAAATTTTTAATCAAGTCGTCAGTCATTTTTTCTTTTAATTTAAGCTTTAACTTCGCAAGTTCTTCCTTTAACTTTTGTTCCCTTAACTCGGCTGCTTTCTTTGCCTTTTCTCTTTCTCTTTTTGCCCTTTCCTTTCGCTCTGCCTTGACGCTATTAATGTATTTTGCTACTTTAATAAACAATGAAGCTACTATTTTCACAACGTCGTCAACTGATTGAACTTTAAGTGATTGTTTTATAAATGATCGAACCAATTCTATAACGATTTTACAATTTGCCACTTCATAAGTTTCAATCTCAGCACTTGTAGTAAGGACTCGAACAGCAGGAAGAGCACAAGCTTTTAAACGCTGAGTAACAATATGATCGTCATACACGTAATTTCGATATTTACTACCATCCAAATCTTCAGTAATAAGTGTAATGGGGAAGCTCTCTATTTCATCAACAATGCGTTTAGCTATATCTTGAGCGTCTTCAATATCCCAAGATTCACTGTTATCTATCACAAACACTGAACGGTCACTAGTGGACGTTAAAAAATCATTAGTTTTAACATCACCCATATCCTACATCCTACCCCAAAGAAGGAAAAGACACAGGTACAGAGGGTGGAGTTGATGTGCCTACCTTGCTCGCCACGTGGTCCACCTTGTTGCCGCAGAGTGTAGAAGCTGAGGCACTGTTATCCAAAATTTTTCACAACACTTTTCACACACACTTTCTAAATAGGGCAGCTAATTATTCACCAATCTTTTGAGTCGCACACACTGATTTTAAAGAGTCTTCGGAAACTACACAAGAGCGAGCTCACTCAGACAAAATTTTGAAAAAAATTAAAAAAAAATAAATTACAAGACCCCAAACAAACCCAGCGACAAACACTCTGACTCCGGCCGATGCACCAAAACGATGTTTTAGTGGCCTAGTTATTGGTTCTGTCAGAGAATGATGTTGCTACTGAGTCGTCTGGTCCTTGGTTTATTTAACACTCTTTTAACCAGCACAATATCCCACACTCACCGCTGCCTACACGCGACTGCCCGTCTCCAGCGCCCCGAGGGCTTCCCTTGCCTCGCGGACCCTCGCCGCGGCCGCTGGTCGCCGAGCGGCAGGCGCGACGGAGGAGGGGTGCATTGCTGAATTGCACTTTCCGCCGCCGTCGCCTCTACCGCCCGCGCCGCGCATGTTCGATACTTATTGAAACGCTCGTTATCTACCTATAACAGAGCCCGATTCAGGAAAGCATTGCCTACCCTTCAGGCGTTTTCAGCGACAATCATCGGCCCACGCCTAGATTGACACGGCCTCACTTCTTAGCTTTAAAAATGATTTATGAGCCTGGAGTCAAAAGGAGCCTAAACCCAAAGT